TGTGTGTGTGTGTGTGTGTGTGTGTGTGTGTGTGTGTGTGTGTGTGTTTATATAAACACTGTTTATATATATATATATTATTTATGTTTTTCAGTTGTAAACTCTGTGAACATGCAGAATCTAGTCACGTTGGCTGCGATGGGTGCGAATTCCGTCTCGCCGACAGGTAAATACGAATAATATTGTTTTAATACATTTTTTTCTTTTAAGCTTTCTCGATCATAAGGTCCCACGTACCGATCCTTCATGAAATTATCTGATAAGGTTGGTTCTTTAGTAGATATAGGTTCATAATTTTAACAATTGTAATTGGTATCTTCTGTGAATAAGAATGTTATTACTACGGAATTTCTCATGATTGGAATTAATTATTTATTTACTATTAAAATAAATGTAAATAATTTATGACATTTTGAAATGCAATCCTTTAAGGAAGGGAAATATTTCATACCAAATAAATAACTATAAAATATTAAATTTATATATAAAAACTTTAATAATTATAATTGTATTCTACAAACCATGGTACTACACATTCTGAGATTTTCTAGGTTATATTAATTTACATTGAGATTTTTTAATAATATATGTAGCTAAAATACCATGAATAAGTAACTATTTAACTTTAAAAGAAATCTTGAAAAATATGTTGGTTTCTAATTGGTTACAACTTCAAATGATCTTAAATTAATATTGTTCTAAGTAAAATTATTAATTTAATGTTGTGTCGAATATCTTTTATTGTACAAGCATGCGTATCATTTTCATTCTACAATTAAAAAAAAATATAAAAATATGATAATTTGTTGTTTTCTCCAATATAAATTTTATAGAATAAATATACTTTACAAATAACAGATAATTTTTGTCACCATTATTTGCAGTATTTGTACAGGGTATTTTATGTTGCTATATGCAAGTTTTACTCATTGGTGTAAAACAATAAAATAAAATTTCAATAAAATGAGAAACTCGGAATCCTTTTTTAGGAGTTATTTTCAATAATCGTGTTTTTGATTTTAGTAACTCTCTAAAGTATATTAGGTTGAAATATCTGGATTAAATCTAATATATCATTTCAATTTTATTTACGTTTTTTTTTTCGACTATTTTTAGTTTTTAACACTCATTGTCCTTTCTTTGGGTTCGATTTAAAGTTTGTAGTGTAAAAAAAAATGAACTTAGATTTATTTTATTAATTTACAAAATTTATTAAATAAACTTAAATTAACTTCAATTGGTCGGATTCAATAAAATAGTAAACTATAATTGATGATTTAACCATCAAAAAAATTATAGAATAATAATAAAATACTATAATCTAAATATTACTATACAAATTGTACTAATGTACTATAATTAGGGCTAGGAAAATGAAGCACTAAAAACCTACAATAAAGGAATTAAAAAATTGCCAATAATGCTACAAAAAAAAGCATTTAACCAGGAAAATGCAACTAAAAAAGACTTAAACATTTTTAAGTTTAGCTGAAAAATATTTTTTAATATCAAAAAATAATTAATTAAACACATTTTTATATGTTCACACCAATTAATTCTTAGAACAACTAAGTACAATTTATAAATATTGAAAAAAATAAATTAAAAACTGTTTTATTATATTTTAGGTACCTGTTTATTATATAAATATTAAAAAAGACTATATGATATTTTAAATTTCTTTGATATTTTGTAATATTTTGAAAACAATTCTGTATTCAACACCTTTATTCTAAAACAAAAATGAATTTAAAAAATTATTATAAAAAACTTCAAATTTTAAATATTATTTAATGTTAATAGATACATACTATTCAATTACATTTCTATTGTTGCATTGTACTATTAGGGACTCTTTCAAATTTTCAAATATAAATGATCCGCAATTATCAGTGAGCAAAGTTTTGTATGAAGAAAATGATCTCTCCACGTCCACGGATGTTAATCGGAGCAAATCTCAAATATGTCATATCATCGAGATTTAAATCTTCTGGCAGTTCCAATTTTGACACTTCTTCGCCGTTCAACATTTTTGAGACTGTACATATTGACTTAAATCCAGTATTCTTTTCTAAAACTGTCTTCAACTTTAACTGTATAGCCTTACCAATTTTCTTTTGCGCTTTATCAATTGTATTTTAGACATCCAATACAATTTAATTGACTCGGATAGAGGACAACTGGTTTTTTCAAGACGCAAAATAGCACTTGCCAATGCACTACAATTTGATTTTATGTATGTCAAATTACATTCCAGATTAGGTTCTTTTATCAAATCATGAACTTTTTTTATTGAAATAGCATCATCTTCGTCCAATTCCATAATGACACGTTTAATTAAAGAAAAATGATCACAATAATAAATCGCTGCATTGATCCATGTTCCCCACCTTGTGAGTATGGGCTCTGGAGGTAAAGGCATATTTGGTGCAATACTTCGAAAAATTTGTACTCGAGAAGGAGCTTTTAAAAATTTTTTTTTCATATTTGAAATCAGCTTGTCAACTTTTGGAAACTAATCTAATTTCCTCGCATACTCGATGCAATGCATGAGCTACCCTAGTAATGTGTTCCATTATAGGATTAAATATTTTAATAGTTTTACCAGCCTTTACCATATATGGTGCGGCATCCGATAAAAATAACAAAATATTCTCATACCTAATCCCTTCAGGCCATAAAATTAAAAGCGACTTATCAAATAATCGACTTATCGTCGCGTAGTTAGCTTTATCTAATACTTCCGAATTCAAAATAAATATTTTACCTGGGCTATCAATTTTTAAGGTGCCTATTATTACGTTTGCTACATAACGATCAGCTACATCTGTCGTCTCGTCGATCGATACCCATATTTTCTTTTCAGATGCATATGCTCTTATATTATTAATTGTTTCTGTGTAGCATTCTGTAACATATTTCTTACGCAATGTTGATTGATCTGGTATGATTTTATTTGTATATTTCTCAAGAAATTTTCGAAATGACGGTTGAGATAGTTTGTAAAGTGGTATATTTGAACATAATAGGGCCTTGCATAGATCGTAGTTAAATGTTGATGCTGTCGATGGGCCGTTTAATAAAGTCTGAGTAGTAGATATTTTTGGTTGATTTCTGTTTTCTACACCCATCATATGTTTATCACGTGTAACATGTTGAGAAACATTAAATTTTTTTTCACTTGACACTTTTATGTCACAAATTTTGCAGTAAAGTATTGTCCCATCAGTGGTAAAAATGTTGTCACCAAATTCGCGCACATATGCACGTAAACGACAAGCCAACGATTGTTTAGGTTAAAGCATTTTAAGTTTTAAATCAATTCAAACACAAACTAGGTAGGTATAACACTATAACACCACACGCGATTACAGGAATAAACGATTAACGACTTGTCGGCATAACATATTGTCGATTACTGATATCGTGGTTCCGCGAGTCGCGACAATACTCCGTACGCTAGCACTCGAATATAAACCCCCATAGAAATTCCTATAGTTAGGAAATGCTAAATAATATTATTGTAAATTTAGACATAGTAAACAAGTCAATAAATATCGTTCTCATTGCGTCTGAAGTCCAGACATAATATAATGACGGTATTACAGACGTCGTATTACGTAGCTACTACTCCCCGCTCGGTAATCAGTAATCACAAAATCTAAGAATCTATTTTTAGAAATATTTTCCGATAAGGCGATAATATTTCACTACGAATTCACAAAGTATATATAATTATAAAATTAAAATAAATGAAAAAGTAATAATTTAAATAAATATGTACGTAAATGTTAAATATGCGTATAATTAACAAAAACCAATTAAAAAGCTAATAAATTGACAAAAAAGTACCAATAGAGCATTTATTTACGAATATCACAAGAAATAGCAAAAAAAGCAAAAACAAAATTGCACATTTGAACTCTGTGATGAATGAATCGAATTTTGTTTTTGATTAGCTATGTCCTGGAGTACTATAAAAGAAAATGCAAATGCTACAAAATCCTAGCCCTAACTATAATACATACAAATCCCTTTTTTCCGTTTTAACATCCTATTAATTAATCCAGAATCATTCCATTATTTTTATTAAGATGACCTATGTATATAAGCTGCATATTTCCAAAATGATATTAATTAAGGTAAAAACACTAGGTTATAGTGATGTTAGCATTTGTTTACATATTTAGTATATTAAGGACATAAATTAAATTTTAATTAGTTTTTCCTTCTTCATAAAAAATGCTGACTATGCTACTAGTATTATATTTAATGTCTTAAATTATTTGAAATTATTTTATCATTAAATTGAAAAATTAAATTTAGTTTACAGATATAAATTAGTTAAAATCAATGCTCGAATAGTTTAATGATTAGAAACAGAAATGTATGTTGAAATACATTTCCATTTACTAAATATATTTTATGAATGTTTATATAACATATTTATGTCTTATTTATTTTATCTTTTAAAATCCTTCTTTGTCGTATGATCTTGTTTCAGTCAATCAAAATTATACTTCTTATTTTAATTAATTAGAAATGCAATTTTACTACGGATATTTTTCCTGAAAGTTTCGTTTGTAGACGGTAAGTTTATGAAAAAACCAAAGTTAAGAGAGTATGGAATAATAACTGGTACACAATATGCACCCTGTTCAAAGACCATTTTATACATCGTCACCTTTGTTACACGATATTTTTTTCACCTTGTTTTTAAATAAAACTTATGTGTACACTGATTTATCATATCTAAGCCATTGTGTTTCCTCTGCTTCCCTCAGATACCCTCCAAGTACGAAAATTCCATGATCTGATTTTATCCCTATCCTTAGGTCCTGTACTTCTAATCTTTGGCTTAGACACTGGGTCTCTCTCCCTCCTTACTTCGCCACCTGGTACAGAAAGATATCTCCAACCATTCCAACACTACCATGGTTTCATAACATCGATCTTTCTCGAAAATGCATAACATCGTTCTCTCGTCTCCGGTTTGGTCATACACGACTTCTTTCTCATTCCTTTAAACTGTCATTGAACGATTCCTCTCTCTGTACACTACACAATGACCCTATGGTCTGTGATATTAATTATCTACTTTTCATCTGTCCCAGCTTATCAACACATCGTGACCACCTATTATCTATTTTGAATACCTCCAACATCACTTTCGACCTAATAAGTATACATTCAAACCAACAAAAAAACATCATAATAAATATAATATCTTTCTTTAACCATTCAGGCTTTTTAATCTAATCTTATGTACTGTTTCTATGGTAATTGTAAACTGTAATTGTATTTTTAATTGTAATTGTTGAAACTAATTGTACTCACAAAGTTTAAAAAAAAAAAAAAAAAAAACATTGTGTTTAATTTTAAATATAGTGATCTCCCAATGGGAAAAATATTTTACCTTATAATTAATATAGTCTTATTATTTTTATAATATTATATTGATTCTTTATTTTGATCGAGAAAGCTTAGTTCTTATTTTTATTAAAATTGATAACTCCTAATAAATTCTCAACAGCAACCCAAGAAATAATAATTATATAAACATATTTCTTATTTTAGGGTCCAGTTCGTCTAGCCTAAGTAGTTCAGGTTTGTTTATTTTTACAGGAATACTATATTTATGTATTGTTTTGAATTTGTATTTGGTTAACCCAGTTTTATGCGTGTATATGTCACCGGTAATATGGATAATTCGGGTATTATGCAAATTGCTGACCCATTTTAGGCAATGTAAATAAAACATATGATTTTCAATGTTATTTTACATATAACGTAGGTATTTTATAAAATACCTAGGCATTATGCAAAATGCCAATTTTTTTAAAAAAAAATGTTGAAGTTTGTTATCAAAATTTGACTTCATATAAATCGTATCCATAGTTGCAACATCATAACGAGACACGAAAATAGCAAGAAAAATGACGATATTGTAATAAAATTATTAGTACTTTCAATATTGTACTTCAGATTTATTATTATAGTAATAAAAGAATCTTATTCTTTATTGCGTTAAATCGCGCACGAACATTTATGATAAACGGTAAGTAAAGTCGTTGGTAATAGGTGATGCCAAATTTTGTTTATTTTCATCATATTGCCTACTCCACATTTGGCATTATACATAATATCTAGGCAAAGCTCGTATTATGTATATTGCCGAGTGATTTTTGGCATTTTATATAATGCCTAGGCATTTTGCAAAAAACCAGATTATCCATATTGCCGATAACATATATATACATATTTAATATTTATATCGTAATATAATTTTGCTTGATGTATTAGTACAATTGCATGACTTTTTTTTTGGGCCAAAAAAAATACTGTCACCATATTTGACGATCATAATTTCATAGATTCGTACTTATAGAAATACATATTTTAGTTATACATATATTATAAAATTTTATATAGTTTTAATAATAAAATATTTATTTTTTAATTTTACTTCTCATTAATTCTATTTTTTTTTTTTATTACTATATTACAATGTATTCTGGACAAAACCAAGATGTTTATTTTTCTATTTCAAGTTCCTATTCACTTAACATGCATTTGCTTAGTCAAATAATTGTTTATATTTCCATTCATTAAATTTCTTTATAAATTGTCAATAATTATAAAAGTATGTTTAATACAGAAAACGTAAATGAATCACACAAATGATCGATCATCTTCTTTTGAACTGGGTGGAAACATTGCGGAAGCAGGAACAACCCAGTCGACGGTTAAATGCAAAAAAAAGTCTTATTTGAAAAATATGATGAATGCACTCGATTAACGATTTTTACGTTATATTTTCTTATATTATCTAAATATTGGAGGTTTCATAAAATCTGAAATTGTACTTAAATCAAAAAACTAATTGTAATCTTATAAATTCAAACGTCATCAAAAACTATTTTTCAATTTATAGTGAAAATAACTAATTTATTTACTTAATGGTACATATATAAATTAATAATTTGAATCTTATATTTTGCGCGTTTCCTATGTATATTATGTTGTTTTTCTATTGAATAGTTTGTCAAAAATATTGTCTATTACATTTTAACTTTCACTATTTTTAATTTTCAGTAAAAAAACAAACATTTTTTAATATTATTTTTATTGGTATGTTCAGTGAACATTAAAACAATTTTTCAAGTAATTTATATAACTCCAGAAAATCTATAGAACACAAAAAAAAAAAAAAATGATTTTATTACAAATATATTCTACATCTTTATTCTAAAAGTAATACGTAATATACCATATTTATAATTGTATAGTTATTTCCTCTTATTATGATTTTTTTTCTTTTTACACTAGTTAAATTGACTTAGTTTAAACGCAATTTACATATATGTATACGATTCAATAATTTCTGAAAAGTATTTCCAAATTATTTCAACAAGTCCTTATATTTGTTATTTTTAACTGTTAAATATTTAATATCTTAAATGTTAGTAGTTTATATGAATATTGAAGTTTTAAATACATGATAGAATACTGAAAGAAAAAACATGAATATTTATATTTGTATCTGTAACCTAACATTCTAGTGACACAATCATTATAAGTCAGTTATGTATTAGCTTTTGGTTATTTTATTTTACTTTTTAAAGCTAGTTATTGCTTGTTCTAATATCCCAAACGTCAGAGGAACCATATTTTGAGTAATAATTATTATATTATACTTCTGTCAAGTATTAAGTTATGTAAAATTAAACTCTTTGGGGGAGGACCACCTCTATAAAGCGGGAATTTAGAAAAAAATATCGAAATTATTCAAATATTTATTAAAATTTTTATTATTGAATATAATTAAACATGTAATATATTTATAAATAAGTTGTTATTAATTTTCTATTCTTTTTATTTTTAATTTATATTAATAAGTATCGTACATGGGTAAACTTTTAATTACTTAAAAATGATTATTAAGTATAATTAACTTACATTTATTATGACATAAAACACATCACTGTTTATGATAATTTATTTTTAAATATTTATTTATGTTAAAATCTCTATTAAAAACCTCAATATTGATCAAGAGCTACAAGTGCTTCTCTTACATAATGTAGACAAACTAATCTAACGTGATTGATTATATGTGTATTTTACAAATTATAAACGGTTTTATTTACCAAAAGTATCTTTTTGTTTGCTTGGAATTCTGAGAATGCGTTTCAGCAAGAATTTTTTTTTATTTTGTTGGCATAATTCAACAATTCTTCAACAAGTAAAATGATAAATACGATAAGTAGTACTTATCGTATAAATTATAAATAAATAAATACAATAAAAAAATAAATAATAATATCAATAATATAAATAATTTATAAATTTTACTCATGTACACATACACGAATAAAATTTATATTTTTTTCACACAATATTATTAACATTTATTGTAAACTGTTGAACAAATCGTTATCTTATTTGATAAGACAAAATCAAAACGAGGGATCTTAACAGGTGGTTTTTACATTGACTAGTATAAAAAATGTTTGGAGATTGACGAAAAACAGCATCTTAAGCTAGTTTTACTGTAACTTAAATTGTTATATCAAATTATTTTGATGGTTGTATATTTTTTCGCCCAAAGAAATAATATTCATACTAAACAAGAAAATATTTTGGTTACCACTATATTTTTTTTTATTGAATTTGTATTTATAGTTAGTAATAAATTATAACTCGAATATACTTGACTAACTTGTATAATATATTGGCACGAGCAAACGACTGCAGTATATCATTTTATCTCGTATTGTAACCGTATATTCAACTCAATTATCGATTATAACTTGGGTAATCTGATTTATCGGAGAGATTACGGTGTATAATTTAATTTAGATTCTGAAGTTTCTGCCACTTTTAACTGGAATGCATTTTGTTTTGTTTTTTTTATTACTGGACAGTGGTGACCAAAATTGTTTTTGTTTACTTTTTTTAATATTTCTTTGAGCGAAAACCAAAAAGTCGATTTTGGGCGAAAACAGATGTGCGCATTTTGACTACCATCAATTTTTTTGTTTTTCCTTTGAATCAAATTCATAATATTATTTTTGTGCGCGCATATCAAATAATTGGTTGTAATTAAATAATTAATTTGTTTATTTATACATTTTTTCGTAACTCCTAACATTTAAAACCAGGGTTGGAACGTATAATACTGTATGTTATAAGACATATAGTATAAAACATATTTGTATAGTTGTTTTACCGTAGAAAAAGGAAATATTAACTATAAATAAACAATTGTGGTGCTATTAATATATTATTAATAATTAATTGTAATGGATTAATAATCTTATCGCAGTTGTATTTAGATATAGTAAAATCATTGTATTTGTGATATATATATTATTAGATTATATACGACAAATTGAAGTATTTTATGTTAATATTAATATTTTGGTTTAAGTAATTAGCAACATTTAAATTTTACTTTAGAATATTAATATGATAATGTATTATATTTTTGGTGTAGCCTATATTATTATTTTTTACTTGGATAGATATTCAGATACCTATTTGAAATATTAAGAAAAGAAAATTTTAAACAAAACTATAATTATACTAAGTATGAAAATTAATAACCTAACTTAATATCTGAAACAAGAGTGAATTTTAAAAATAAAACATTTATGTTTTAGTCATTTTATGCGTTTCATACGTGGGAAGTGTATGGGTAACATATAAAAACTTTAATACGCATATATTACCAACCCTGCTTAAAACAATATTAAATTTCGGTTTTCTAACAACTCTTTTGTTAAATAATTCCAATTTTTATTTGTTTTTCTGTATTCTTCATGTTTGAAAATAATTTATTTAAAAATACAATTATTAAATTTTTTTAAGCATGCTTATAAATTACATAATTTTATATTTGTGTGAAATTAACAGTTTTTTTATCTGAAGTTTTAGTACGATTTAGTGTTATAATAACGCCCTATTTTATCACCTATATATTTGAAGTGTTTTTAAAACAAACGATTTTCTGTTTCAGCTTTATCGAGTTTGTCTCCAACGTCTGCCGCTGCTGCAGGTTAGTAAATTATTATCTATTAGGTTTTTACCTATGGACCTACTATTATTATTTTACATTTTAACCCTCGCATTTTGTGTTTCGTTGTATGTTTTTTTTTTCATATTTGATTCCATACTTTTATTTTCTAGTTTTATTTGGGAAAAATGCTGGTAAGTGGTTTTAGAATGTGTGTGAGAGTGTGTGCGTATGTGTGAACGCACTGAAAATTTTGTTTTTCCAATTTTTTTTTTTTAATTTAATTTTATTATAGATTGTATTACAATACGCTATCCTTATTTATGAATGATATAATATACTTAAAATTCATCCGAAGTATGTATGGCTATGTGTATTTTCTTCCTTCCGAGTTCTGCGTGTTTCGCTTTATAGACGTTTTCCTTCATACACAAGTATTATAATTATTAACGTATTATACACTTTTTCTAGATTTTAAAACTTTAACATACAATGAAGTATTAATCACTTATACTATTTAATGTTATATATTTATATTTATTTTTGATATGTTTAGGTCTTTTAACGGGCACCAACGGCGGCACTAATGGTACTTATGGATCATCGTTGAACGCGCTTGGTCTCACATTAGCCGACTTGAACTCCAACCAATTCGCTATGCCTCAATCGCCACCGGCTAGTTCGCCGTTGTACTTTTTGAACAATAATAACAACAGCCGTGAGTAGAAAATCAAAAAATATTGATGAAACCCCATCCGACTGCATAAAAATTAATTATTATGGTCATGCATTGGAGGTAAAATTTTAGAAAACGTAACTAGAAAATCCATTGCTTATTAAATAAATATAATTATAACTTTACGCAAGTATTAATAAAATAAAATAAAACAATGAGGTACTTACTAAATTAGTTGTGCCTACTCTTTAAAGTTAATTAATGTTTTTAATATATTTATATTCAATATAAATTATCATATAAGTAAAAAATGAAAAGTAAATTAAAACAATTTCAAACTTATGTTAGAATAATGTTTATAAAATCATGCATTCCCAATTAAAGTATTTATATAATGTAAATTTTCAAGACTTATCAAATTAATAGTTATTAAATTGGAACGTGTACTTGACTTAATAAAAATTTTCGAGTCGAGTTCGAGTACTTGACTTAAATCAAGTATTTAATTTCACTCGACTTGAATCAAGAACTTTAATTTTAATTCTTTATTGGAAAATAAATGTTAAAACTATAAATAAATAGGAGTCAAATATTTTCTATAGAAAATACCAGTATAGTTGATAATTTAGATTTATATCTATATATTGTTAGTGTTTAGATATTTTATTATAATGATTAAAGGGTTGATTTTCATGTTCCAAAAAATTGTAATATATGCTTTATATAAGTTTAAAATATTCTCGATAAAACGTCATTATATGTATAAAAAAATGTAAAAACATCAAAATTGATGTAAAATTTATTTAGTTTTATTTATTTAAATTTGCATTGCATTGAACAAACATTGTTTTTAAAATATTTTGGAAGTTTTAGATTAATATGACGTTATACACTCGTTTCTTGTCGTCTAAAAACATTTATTCAGAGAATTTGGGTTATAGCTATGCTACAAAAATCAAATTTCAGCCACTTGTCGATAGCAATTTTATCTGTGATCCTGTGTTGCATAATAATATTATATTATACATATAATATTGTATTAATAGACTGATATCTATTTTAACTATATCGATAACATTTTTCGGTAAAGACACAATTTCAAAAATAGCAATGAAATAAACAATAATTGCATGTATAATATGCAGTCTAATCTAAAGATACTAAATATACATAATTATGCACTAGTAAATTATAGGTAAATATGCTATGAAAGAAAAATGGATCGAAATTGGAAATATGTGCAACATAAAAACTGTTATATTTTATAGGTCACAAAATAAATTTCTATCCTACTCTGCAACTTTCATTAGTTTTAGAAAAAAAATATCCTAATGCATGAACCTCCGCCCTTTAATTATGATAGTAACATTTGATACAGATTGATAATCATGATTTTTTTTCTTGAGTTTAGAACTTGATTCAATGTGTAAAAGCCATACTCGTTCGATTTAATGATTTTACGTACTTCTATTAAAATACTAAAACAATAATAATAATTATTTACGAGGTTTTAATACATGTAGTAATGGTGAGTTTTATTGGGGGCTGGTATCGAATTGGTTCCCACCCCACATGCTGAAATAGTTTTCGTTTGAAAAAGGTATTTTATTAAGTTAAACCGAATTGGTTCCCATTTAATTTTAGATGGCCGTTCTATGATGAGTTCTTCACATTTTCGTTTTAATGATTTTGTCAATTGTTGTCGCACAATTATACCATCATCTTCTCTTTCGTAGTTATAGTTAAGACTTATTCATATAAATAATCTCCATTCAATTTCACATAAGCTATATATTTTCGTTTAATATATATCCACCTTTGCATATTCTATCATATCCTCTGCAAGGTTCTTTTGAAGACCTATCTTGTAATTGTCAATAACAAACAACTTAGTTCCCTTTTCACTAAACATAAACTCCTAATAACAAAATATTATAAAACAAATATTAATTAAAATACAATCGATGTTTAAATGAAAATAAATTTATTTGTATGATGGTGTATTATTCGAGACTGTACAGTGTTTACTAACATTTTTTTTTATGTAGGCACAACAATAAAGATAATTGGCATAATAATAAATTACATATTAAATATTAAATTAAATAGTACAATTTTGCTACTTTTAGGAAGCTGAAGATATTCGTTGGGTCAGGACACATTCTTGAGGTTATCGGATAAATCGAGGTTGGTTTTGATGTCTCTTTAGTTTCGACAGTGACATATTATATGTTTGACCGTGATAGTTTCTCCGCATGTAGAAAATTGGTCAGGTTCAGTTTAGATCATTAGATGTTGATGGGTCAACCGTGTAACCTATTCGTAATTTATTAATAGATTAGCTAACCTTTCTATCTTCTGAGCAAAAAAAAAGTCGGTCATAGTGGTTTTTATTTCGTTCAGCTTTGTCTGTAGATGTGACCACTTGAGTTGCCATTGGTTTAGAATTAAATGGTCGATATAAAATGTAATATCTTGGATATTGGATACATGGAGTTGATTTGTGTCGGGAGATAAGATAGCAATTTGGCTATAGTAGATTGCAAAGGTTCCTGTGGCTAACCTTAAGCCGGAATTGTAAACTGTTTCGATCGTGTTTATGTACTTTGATTTAGCGTTTCTAAAGAGATAAAAGCCGTATTCTAGCTTGGATATTATGAGTGATTGTATTGCATACTTTAAGAAGTTCTTTTATATGTTTACTCCTAGAGTTTTAGTTGTCGAATATGATTCCTAGGATTTTGATCTTTTCGGTAGTTGAAATTGGAAAGTTATCTATTTTTATTTCTAGAGTTTGGGATGATATACGTCTGGAATAAACTATGCACTGTAATTTTGGAGCGGAAAAACTATATCTAGTAATGGCAGACCATTTGACTAATGTTGATATTGGGTCTTATAAGGCTGGTCGTACTACCAAAATTTTTGTGTTTTCCCCCTCGGCACCATATGGTTAAGTCATCAACAAAGATAGTGTAATTTACCGGGAATTAAATTTTTTTGCAGATTTCATTTATGGATATGAGAATAAGATTAACTGAGATGGTAGTGCCTTAAAGGACTCCGTTTTCTTGATTAAAGATTGAGAAAAAATGATAGTTGGTTTTAACTTGAAATGTTCTATCGGTTAAGAAATGCTTGATGAAGTTAAGCATATTACCGTTACAACGAATATTTTGTGGTTTTTTTTTATTATACGTGGGCGCCAGGTAGTAAATGTTTTTGTTATGTCTAGGCAACTAGACCCAAGATTATTTTGGATCCTAGAGTTTTAATCGTAATCTCTTGTATGTCACGGACACTGTTGTTATGTGCTTCGATGATACCAAAAACCATTTGTATGGGAAGGTATTCTTTAGAGAAACCATCTCAACCATGTATCAATGATCTTTTCGAGAAATTGCACATTGTATTTAAGAAATATATTAGCCTGTACCCTTCTGTGGTAAATTTGTCCTTTCCTGGTTTTAAAATTGGGATGTTAAAGAAAAAGTATTTTCAAGGTTTAGGAATTTGTCGGCTGTTCTTAATTTTGTTGAACAAATGAAAGATAAATTAAATTGGTGGTGAAGGAAGAATATGTATAAAATAGGAATTTGGAATTTCATCCGGGCCTAGTGAGAAACTGAAATTTTAAAACAGCTCAATTTAGTTCTGTTAAATTTATTGGCATGTTGAGATATTGTTGATCTTGGTCTGTCGGGTTGATGTTGGATTAAAATTGGACGTGTTTGTTGATATTTTTCCTGTATAGAAATGTTTTTTCGTATTTGTTGTCTTAACTATTCATATAGAAATGGCTTTCTAGCAGATTAGCGACTTCGGTTGGATTGTTATGTAGTGTTTTGTCATTAATGATATGTATTTGTTTTTCTTTACTGTAGCTTCGTAGAGAACGTATTTTACTCCTGACCGAACTGGGGTCGTTTTTGGGTCCTATAGTTACAGTAAATGTTTTCTAAAAGTTTCTTTACATTGTTTTACAAGGTATCGATTTTCGGCTCAGAGTTGTTTAAGATTAATGTGGTCATTGATTTTACCGTTTTTTTTTTTTAAATAATTGTAATGCATTTATTTTTATTTTTGATAGATTATTTTATTTCGGATTTCCCCCAAGGAACTTTTACTTTTTTTCAAGACATTTCTTTTACTGATACAAATTTTGGCCACGTTTATAAATTCCGTTATGTGGGTAACATCGATATCTATCAGACCATCTAAAGGAAGAAAGTCGGTATTTATATATGAGTTTACAAGTTGCAAGAAAAGGTTCCAGTTCGGGTTTTTGAATTTCCATCTAGGTGAATTATTATTGTTATAACAATACAACGATATAAGTGCGTATATTTCACTTGTTATCTTAATCAATGGGAAATTAATGGATTATCAGTGATAATTTGCTAAACCTCAAATATAACCGGTGGAGTATGATTGCATGCGTTTTATCTTTTTGGGTATACAAGTACGATTGCGCTTGGTGCCGGAACAATAATAGATATGATTTTGACCCTTCAAAAACGTTGGACTGCGCGTGAAATTAGAAGCAGCGTTGCCAAATTTCTATTAGAAATAATATAAATATACTAAGATAATTATTTTTAATGTAATGCATTTCTAATAATTTATTTGCTATAATTTCATATAGATAGCTATTCTAATGGATTATTTTATACATTTTGAATAGAAAATTTCCAAAAAAAAATGATGAAGAATGACTGATTTCATTTATATGTGAAATATATTATTTACTCGCTTAGCGAGGTTTTAGCTTCACATACAAAGCATAATTCCATTGGCGATAAGTATCAAGGTTTGAACAATGATTAGCTTAGGTTTAGACTATTATTCCCCTTAGGGCGAAGCCCCATCCTTACGAAAATTAGCACTCAAGTTAACGAGTAGAACCGATAGGCTTGTAAATGTATTACTGCTACGTATGACAGCAGCAGGTTAAGGTAAAAATTGGTAATTAGTGCAATCGATATGTCTCCATAAAACTATCTGACCTAAATTATAACCAATTACTGTGATAGGAAGTAGATAGTTGTTAGGTATCGGCAATAATGGTCACAAGCCGTGTGAATATTTACCCTGTATGTAGTGTATATTTGGCAAAGTTGCATGGAAGTCAGCACTCGCAATCGTACACCTAAAAAGGTACCGGCAGATAAAGACCGCGCTCAATCGTATCTATTGCCATTTTATTACATTTATACTATTGAGTGTAGGTACATTTATATTTAATACTATCCAATTTATATTTAGTACCGATTATGTTTGTTCTACCAACAATTATTGAAAATTAAAAATTAAAACTGTAACGATTTGACCTGAAAACAAACCGAAACCAATTCGGTTCAACCTAAATAAAATATAATTTTTAAACGGGAATCAATTCTGCCAAATGAGAACTTATTCGGTTTCTCCCTTATTGGGTTTTAATAAATTTTAGATTAACTGGGTATACTTACACTTTAATTAAAATAAAGTGTTTATTAATTTAAATTAAAGTGTATTAATCGGTAAGTCTAGTTATTTTACCTTAGTATATTTTTTTTTTTTTACAATATATTGTTTTAAAGAAATCTTTTGATTTTAAACCGTGGTAAGATCAATATTGATTTTATAAGTAATTTTTTTGTGATATTCAACCAAGGTTAATATTTAATTTATCTAAATTATGACCAAATGTGCTTTTTCCCACGAAACAATCCATTTAAGTTTACAGTTTGGTAAATAGAGAGTGGTATGAATAGTTATAATTTATTTAAAAATAAAATAATAAAATAAAATATAGTGTGTGTTACTTAGGTCTGACGCATTTACAAAGCCAAATTAAATTTAATAGTTAGGTATTAAAAAATAATCTGCCCATTCTATTAAACAAAGTTAAATTCCGAAAGTCGTTGAAAAAAATGAAGTTTACACTATGTTTGTTGCATAAACACTTAAATTACACAATGCCATTTTTTTTGTTGAACTTATTGTGTTCATAAATATGCATGTGTCAATTAATTATATTTAATAATTATAATTATAGACGATAAATAAGAATTTCATCTCCTCGCTTTCTTGCATACTTTTAGTACCTTATCATATTTACTTGGCTGTTAAAATTATCGCTTTGCTTTATTTTTTTTTTTATTGTACCCAAGTATTTAATTTTTTTTTTCTTCTGCTTGACCGGCTTCATTATGAAATGAACATTGCGCTTTTTACAATTATTTAAAATAGTGCATATTAATATGTCCACGAACGTTATAACTTTTTAAGCTGGCTCTTCGGTTCCCTTACATTTTTATTTTTATATAAACATTATGTGCTATTAATATTGTGTTTGTACTGTATCGTTTGTTTTGTACTATGTTGTTGCTTAATTATTTTGTTTAGCGACTAAAGTGTCCGGTAAGCAGCTTGAAGGTCCGGAAGGTGCCAATCTGTTTATATACCACCTCCCCCAGGATTTCGCTGATTCTGATCTCGTTGCCATGTTCTTACCATTCGGTAATGTTATATCGGCAAAAGTTTACATTGATAAAGAAACCAAACTGTCCAAATGTTTCGGTAAGTCACTCAGGCGCGCATATACAAAGAAATGGTGAAAACACCTGGTTGATGGTTATATACCTCTACTTTTTATAAAAAAAACAATATTTATATTTTTATCGATTCGTATTTAACGTTTATTACAAGTGTGTTGATATTTTTTATGGCGAAAAATGATCTATTCATTGAATATAGTTTTAATTATATGATCAAATAATCAAAATATTTTTAGTGTTTTATAGTGTTTATATACTCGCTTGATGAGATTCGTAGCTACCAATAAAAATGCTGAGAAAATAATTAATATGATTTTGAATATACGGCCATTATTATTTTTATTTTAAATTAAAATATTTAAATAATGATAATGTTTCTCTACGATTTTCGTTCCTATAATAATTGTAATATTCTTAAGGAGAAAAAAATGCTTCAATACAAATATAAATTTAAAGAAAAAATTAAAATAAAAACTTCCCTTCTTTCAACTGCAGGTCTTATTGTCGGCTTGCCATTAGACTATTATTTGCTATTATTGAAACAGTTGCTATATCGTCTAGTGTTATTATGTATTGTCCTGCTTTTGCCTGTAGTTTAGTTTATCTAAGAATAATCATTTCAGTAGGCTTTATACTAATATAACCTAGTCATGGTTAAACTATTACATGGTCACCGTACTGTTTAAAATATATTAAATATATTATATTATTATTTGGATAAACAGTATTTTATAATAGAGTCAATATAATAATGCATGCATTCAGTTGACCTAGTATATCATATTCCAAAATATAATAAGTTACATTATGCTTTTGACGTTGTCGATCATGGTTTGAATCATCAATTTTGGCATTGGTAATAATAACAAAATAATTGAATGAAAAATAAATCGCATAGTAGAGCAACTAAAATGTATTTTTTTTTTTTTTTTTTACTTATCTGTTTGCACTGCAATACTTGGTAATAATATCCCCACAATTTAAACAGTTAATAGTGTGCCACGAAAAGTATTATTCTGAAAGAAACAAGAAAATAAATAAATTGAATACCCGGAGTAGTAACAATCGACAATCAACCTTTTCTGAAAATAAAAATTCCGTTGAATTAATTTGTATGTTTATAAAATTAATTTTTACTCTTATTTAAACCATTAATCACTAGAAAAAATTTTAACAGTTGAATGCCGTCTTACAAATTATTATTTATATATTTTTAAAGATTATTTGATTTTAACCAATGCTTAATCTGCGTATAATATAATTTGTAATTATTATTTTTTCTCTCAAATCAGCAGCACTCTATACGATGTGTATTAAAAGTTAAAAAATAAAAATTAAATTAAATACAGAAGAAGAATAATTAAGCTATATTTAACCAAGGAGCAAATATTATATTTTGTATTGTTATTAAAATATCGTAACTGAATTTGATGAAAATAAAAAATAAAATTATATAGTCAGATGTAAGTTTGCTCCCGTGGGTGGTTGATTTGATAATGTCATAATATATTAATCGTTCGGTGTTAGTATAGCTATGTAGTAGTGTAGTATGCATGCATACTCGGTACAATTTATAATTATTTGCGCACCATTACCATGTTATAATTAACGAATTAACGATAAAATGAAAATAAAGACAAATCATATTAGTAACTCGTTGAAAAATATTTGCTACCCATATCCATCGGTAACCTTTTTTTGTTTAAATATATTATGTATATATATTCAGGTTTTGTATCGTATGATAATGCGTACAGCGCTCAAGCGGCCATACAGACTATGAACTCGTACCAAGTGGGCAACAAAAGGCTGAAAGTGCAGCTTAAGAGACCCAAAGAAGCTTCCAGGCCGTACTAACAACGATCGTAGTCTTGCCCTACTGTATCGTTATCACTGCATACCATCGTGTACACTATATATTTTAAGAAAACTGGAAATGTATGTGTATATATATGTATCTGTATATATATATATATATATATATACGTATATATTTATTTCCTTTTGTTTTGTTTATATATATACATATATATATTCATATAACAAAATATTTTTAGGAATATTTTTAACGCAACTTTAGAAATTAAAAATAAAAAATTAATAAAAACTATATAAAAAAAAGAAGAAGAAAAATAAGTGGGAAAATAAATTTTCAAATAACTTAACGGCGTTTTTATTTGAACTCTTTTGTAAGAACTATCAGATGGATTTAAACATTTATTTATTTATTTATTTTTTTTTTCAATAAAAGGACCAATTTTCGTTATTTTAATGAAGTCGTCATAAGTGTTGTGCTCGCTTTTTTTTATCGTTGATCGTTTATTTTTGAATGTTATTTGATTCAACGATGATATACGGTTTTACAATTGAATAGACTTAAATTAATTAATTTTAGAATTTTAAAACGTTTCTAGACTGCTCTTATATTGTAAATGTGTAATGTTTTATCGTTTTCAAAGTAATTATGTATACCCTTGAAATTATTTTTTCGGCAACCAGGGTATTAAGAGTATTCCCAAAGAAATTTAACTTACTTAATATTATATTTGAATTACGCCCTGTAATGGTTCCTGTAGTTTAAAAACATGTTTAGCATTCAGTTTTATGAAATAAGTGGTCAAATTCATATGGATAAGTAATTACTAATAATGTTTGTTTTGTTTATTTGTTTTTTTTTTTTTTTTTTTTTTTTTTTTTTTTTTTTTTTTTTTTTTTTATAATCACAATGATTTGATTAATTTTTGTTCAGTATTAATTTAAATTTATAGTTTTTGCATGTGTTAATAATTTTATAGACTTTTCCAATTGATGCCATTTTTAATAATTACAAAGACTTTGTTTAGGTGATATTATGTTCTTTGTGCTTGAAAAATATTTTTTTTTTTTTTTTAACGTGTCATGATTGTGAAAATTTGTTCTTTTTTTGTCTTGTCTTTCGTTGGCATTTATATTATATGAAATAGTAATAATATGTTGATTAAATAAATATATTGTTGAATAAATGTTAATATTATATCAATCATCACCATCGTTAACAGGCATTATTGTGATAAGATTAGTCTAATTTTGTTTTATTATTTTTTTGTTTTATTAATTAAAAAGCATCGAAACTTAATTATATATTCTATTATATATTAACAGTATAGCACCACTACTTGTGAACTAGTAACTTGTCAAAATGTATGATTATTTTTTGAAGCTAGTGTTTTTGGTGCTAATACAATTTTTTTTTTAACATTTTTTTGTTTTTGCAATAGGTCAAATTATGTTGAAAAATTATGTAAAATTAGATTTACCTTATCAAAGTGAAATGTTTTTTTTTCCCCAAATAATTTAAATTATCCTCTGTTTTCTAAGACTTGTATTATATTTAGAAAAATATGTTGTAATATCAATATTCTTCACTTATTGTTTGTAAAAGAAAAGATTTTGTGTTTATTATTTTTAACTTACTACAATTACATTTGCATGTAATGATACTGTACAATGATGTGTATGTTCGTTGTTGAAATTTTTGTTCTCCAAAACATCTTTTGTATGTCCATCTATGTTCCTTTGATGATGTCTTCTTATTGTCAATATCTCTGTCGCACTAAATGCAATGGTAGTGTTTATCCTATGTGCATCATGCAACCATCTAGCCAACAGTTAGTCATCTTAGTAAAATGGTCCGCAAGTTTTTTTTTTTTTTTTTAGATTTTCTTGTCAAATTAGTAAATAATAATTTGTATTTGGTATAATTGAGATTTAAGAATAGAACTATTTGATAATGTCATCCGTACCTATCAAAGTACAAAAAAAAGTATACTTGCTATGAAATTGGACTTCGATTTGTCATAATAAAGTATTAAATACATTTTTAATTTATTGAAAATTGTTAAATATTTCTTATATTAAAAAAAAGGGAAACTCATTGGTCAGGTGAGATATAAAGATGGGTGAATGATACTGTTGTTTTGGTTTTTAAAACTTGAAACCTATATACCTTTGCTCTTGAAAAAACGGTTCTGAGTCTATTTCTATAACCAAATTTCTTAATATGGTAAGTTATACATATAATGTTACAAAAGTAAGGCTAAAAAAAAAACTACCTACTTAATTCAATCACATTAAATTCTATCTACATATCTTTTGAAATTCTTAAAATATTTTTTTCAGCTTATAAATATTTTTAGATTCCGAGGACGGGAATATAATGGTTTTTTTTGTGTCCACAGTTTTGACCAGAATAATGCTCCGATCATGTCGAATTAAATTAATTGGATTCAAATTGTACTTTTGAGGTCGAATTTTGCGAATTTACCTATAAGACTAAATAGTTATGAAATACTAACTAAAATATATTAAAAATGATAACATATACGGCAAACTAGTTTTCAACTATATACAATTTATTTTACGTCGCAAATAATAAGCTATAAGAAATTTATTTGAGAGTCGCAAGAAAAGTTTTATAAGCGGTATAGAATATAATTTGGAAGAAATATGACATTTATACGAATTCCCATCAGAATTAAACGATTTTAGTTATTATTCTAATAATATTAATCCGTGGACACCAAACTTTTTCTGAATACATATGTTATAATTTTTAATATATTTAAATAGTTTCGAAATATTAGTGATAACAATTTTGCTGTTTGTAGACAATTAGAATTTTCGTTTTTTCTAAATTTAGAATCTTTCCGTAAGTTAAAACACGTTATACGACTATTTCAACCATATGCAAAAATTTAATTTGATTCATCGAAATTGAAGACCTGGGGGCAACAACCAGACATCTCCATATAGTAAAAATCACTTTTCCGGCTAACATTATCAAAAAAAAAAAAGCACGTCGATTGGTGCAACAAACAAATATATTTGATTCTTAGATACTGAGATATTAAACAAATGGAAATGTCTGGTTTATTATTTGACGCAACAACCAGACATCTTGATATGCCTGGTTGTTGCACCAAATGTTGGTTATACTATAAATTGTATATACGTAATATTGTGATCTAATCACAAATCTAAAACTACATTAAGCCTACCAATAAATGATTCATTCTTTATTATACAATGGACCATTGAGTATTAAAGAAACTAAACTGAAAGATGTGAGAGATATGGCATCTAATTATGTTCTTTCTGAATATTTATGGTATTATTCAAATCTCAGATCAGGTGAAGATGAACATACTGAAGCATTAATTAATGAAGACTGAATAAAATGAGAATATTAAGTTTAATACTAAAATTTTATTTAAAAATAATGTATTATGTTTTTAAAGATTTGACTTTCATTTGTTTTTTTTTTCGATATTTTGTTATATTTATAAAAAGATGTATTTTTTATAAAAATTTTTATTATAGTTATTAATTTTAAAACAGATTTTATTTAAAAATAATGTATTATTATGTTTTAAAATATTTTAGTTTCATTTATAATTTGTTGATTTTGTTTTTATATGAATTTGTAATATGTGGACGTGGACTGGGATGGATCTAGGGGGGTCAGCTGACCCACAGTTAATATTTGCTGACAAAATTTGCTTCTTGGAAATTTTTTTTTCTCTTTTTAGACCTTGATTTGGACAGTTGGCCTATCGGAGTTACTTGAAAATTGAATGGCATGTATATTTAAAATTTAAAATTTTTAAATTCATAATTTATATTTTAAATTATATTGTTTTAGTAGAAAGTTAAGTAAATCATATTTTATTTCGTACGTTTTTTGTGCTGATAAAATTAGATTATATTTGTTAATCGTAAATAAGTCATTATCAGTGGTATCACTAATTCTAAAATGTAATACAGTAAGTTCCCGTTACAGCGAACTCCAAGGGACCTTATTTTTTTTTCGTCAGTTTTAACAAAAATAAATAATTTGCGATAAAATAAATAACTTTATTATAGATAATCATGAATTTTCTTTTGAACAAGGTTTGCTGTTTTAATAGAAAGTAAATAATTTTGTATTTGTTGAATGTTTGTAAATATGAAGTCCGGTACATCACTCTGTGATGTAATGAATGTTCGCATTACTTCCAAAGTTGATAAGACTTCTGATGAAGTGACATTGCGCACATCATTTCCCAACACAGCTTCTTCGTCTTCGTCTCCACTACTTTTATCGGTGACCTCATCTTTGCTGTCTTTAATGGATTGAATGGTGTCTACTTCGGTTAGTTTATAACATGTTGAAACGTTGCCATCTGCACTGAGATAATCTTCTAAATTCACGTCGTCAGGAAGCTACGTTTTCTTTTTCGCAGTGATCCAAATTTGCTCTAACTCAGATTCTTGGATATCGTGCGTATTTGATTCATAATATTTGGCCACTTCTGAAACAGAATTGGTGTCTTTGGTTGTGGTTGTATGTTTCCAACAGTTGGTTATTGTTGATTGACTGATATCATCCCAAGCTCCGCACATCCATTCGATAGCTTCCTTCACATTGCATTTTCTTTGGATATTTTTCTCCAAATCGCATAAAATTTGACGTGACAAAAAAGTTCTGTAGCGTGATTTTACAGCTCTGATGATACCTTGGTCAAGAGGTTGAAGTACAGCTGTGCAGTTAGGTGGGAAATATTCCACACGAATATTATCCAATTTTGGTGATTCATTATGAGGAGTACAGTTGTCGATAAGAAGAAGAATTTTCCTCTTCTTTTTCATTTCTGTATTAAAATCTATCAACCAATCATTAAAAATTATTTGAGTCATCCATGCTTTCTTATTAAATTTATAGATGCATGGCAATGATTTACAGTTTTTAAAACGAGGTTTCGTGGATTTTCCAATGATGAGGATTTTTCGTTTCTCCGTTCCCGATTTGTTACAACAGAAAAGAGCGGTGATGCGTTGTTTGGAAGCTTTACTCCTACACACTTGTCTCCTTTCTGGGCTAATGTCCTTTTTGGTTCAAGCTAAAAAAACACTCCAGCTTCATCCGCATTAAAGACATCGTTAGGGCTGTATTCCTTGATGAGTGCAATAACTTCTCCGTTTCGCCATTCGTTAACAGAATTCATTGGTACGTCACTCGCCTCTCTAGAAATGCATTTGGACAACACACCATAACGCTCACGGAAACGATTTAACCATCCGACACTTGCTTGGAAATTCTCAACTTCGAGCATTTTAGCAAATTCTAATGCTTTTTCTCGAATTAAAGGACCGGTCATAGGAACATTTCTGGAACGAACATCTTGAAACCATTTGTAAACCGCCGTATCGTATTTTAGTACATTTTAGTAGATGAAATTTTTTTTTTAAATTGACATGTAAAAAAAGAATGTGACAGTCAAACATTTTTCTTTTATTTTCTATTGTTTATTTAATAAAGTATTATCAGTTATATTATAATAATAAAGGTGCGATTTTTTTTTCTATTAAATTGTTTTTTATTTTATTTTCTAGCGTAATTTATATAAGTATTATCAGTTAACTGTATAATAATATTAAGTTAATTAATTACTAACCTCAATGTAATCGATATCATCTCAACTGGTTGTATACAATTTCTAAATTGCATGTTTTCACGTTGAAGCTTATCCTTGAGTTTTTCATGTAATACATCAAAAGAAGCACATGACATACGGAAATAATTAAAAAACTTATTTTCATCATTTCGTAAGTCATTAAATAATGTATAAAATAATCCCACTTCCTCTCTTCTAGCATTAATATGATGTACCCAAAAAACACAATTTTTCTGTTGTCTTTTGCGTTTATATATAATTTGTTTGTCGTTCATTATAACCACGCGCGACTTGAGTGTTCTTATAAAACTAAACCTGTGAAAAAGTATACTAAGCACAGGAACCCTGCTTATATCGTGTTTTGCCGTACGGTCAAAACCGTGTAGTGTGAAACGAGCCTAACACGGTCACACGTTATAATGACAATTTAATGGCTTGATAATTTCGTAAAACCGTGTGCTTCTTATCTTTAGATTAAATGAAGTAGGGAAATACATACATTTTAACCAGTACAAATAGTTCGTTGTATCGGGATTATTAAAAATCTATCATTTCGTTGTATTGAGATTAGTTTAACATTGTTTTAATAGCTTTTCGGTAGGGGATTTCTATGACTTTCGTTATAACGGGATTTTTCGTTGTAACGGGAACTTACTGTATAAATATACTTTTATGAGCATATTGTGTTTTTTTTTACAAGGTATTCATTTCTAATTCAATTTCATCCCTAATAAATGGCCTCTTGAAATGGTTTGACTCACAGTTCCCCGACTCTGGATCCGCCCATGGACGTGGAATTTACCATATTTTATTGTTTATTGTTTGTTACATGAAATCAAAAGTTATTTTATTTCAATATTTTGTTTAAAAATATTATGTATTATCATGAAAAAGTTTTATTTATTTATTTATCAATAATTATATTAAACTCTTATTAAATGGGAACCCACACACATTCCAAAATATATAAAATTAAGTTAAACAATATACCTAATAGAAACATTTTATAATAATATTATGTCTTTATCAAAATATAATTTTGTAAATAATATTACGATGTAACTACCAGACATTAAGTGTCATTGGGTGACATCTTACGAACCTCAATTTTTGTACCTTTTAGCACATATTCTTATTACGATTATATATTTAACATAAAAATGTATATATATATATATATTGCAATTAGTTTTTAATAATTTTTTTTTAATATGATCTGAAAAATAGTTTTAAATGATAATAATAGATTGTCATTCTACAGCGTACTGCTGTATAACTGAATAATGGATGAAAATAAATATATTAATCTTGCACGCAATACATTCGCTATAATTTTATTATCGCCTCACAAAAAATATTTTCATATTTAATGAGATCGAAGAATACGTGCAGTGACAAAAATAAAAGGATTTTTTGATTATACCCCTATTATTGACGTTTATTATTCATTTATTTTTGCTGGAATATGTAGTGACGGGATGGCCGCATGAAAAGTCGAGGTGGTTATCGCCTACCTACACTTGACGTACCTTCAATGACTTGCAAGTTATGTTTTTGTAACTTAAATTTTTTTTTTTTTTTATAACTTAGTAAAAAATATTACAGTTCAAAAATGAAAATATTAAATTTATATAGTTAATAGGTATAAGGAATATCAATACGTGAAAGGTAAATAGATAATCAAACATGATTTAATAGTAATAATGAGTAAATGTGATAAATAATATCGGAAAGGATAATGAAACGCAATGACAGAAAATAATAGCACAGAATAAAACAGAATGGACACTGATAACAAATTACATGGGCAGTATAGGACAATAATGAAATCAGTCAGCCATTTTATTTGAGGTACAGTAGGAAGTTAGTAACATTTTATTCTATCATGAAACGGTAGTAATATTCTTTATAAGTTACTGCGCATTATTAAATGTTACTAATAGTAGTATTGTTTTTCAAAGTATTAGGTGCAATAAGAGTTTGAGATTTGGGGGGCTTATAAGTCTTATACTATGATATGACCATGGGTCAACCCCCAATCTCCCATCATTACCAAAAAAATATAAATTGTGTTTTTGTAAATGTATTGCAATTGTATTTGTAAATTTACTACAACGATTTGAATTTTATAGTATTATATCGATATAAACGTTTTTAATATACTTAAAAAATATATATAAATACCTATATAATACTATTTAATCATCGATGAATCTATTTTATACATTTTTTTTTTTAAACACTTCCCATTCTGAAATCCTGCACATGGGCCTGTATTATGGTAGACATACTATCTAAAAAATGATCCACAAGTAAAAACTTCTTGGTACCCAGTAGGTCACCATGTTTCACACTGTTTGATAGATCACATATTGAACAATTACCATAATCGAAATTATAATTAATAACGAATATCAGTTATCACTGATTATAAATTGATAACAAAAGTACCTCAATTAAAATGGAAGCTGATTTCGTTGCCGCCGTGTTGTGTTCACCCCCTGATAATAGCGGAGACTTAAATATAAAGTTAACAATATGCAGTGATAATAATGAATAAAAACATTAGGGCAGAAATCACCCGTTGGTGACACTACTTGATAATAATTAATTTTGATGTCTTATGACATTATATAATGAAACAATAACGTTTATGAAATTTATACAATTTGTGATAAATAAAAATAAGTTTTATGACATGTTCGACACATTAATGAGCTAAAAAAGGTTTATTGAATATACCCGTGTTTTTGTTTTTTGAAATCATAATATTTTTTAATCACTCTGTATGCAGTAGAATCTCTATATCTCTCACAAGTACCTATTTTTATACATATTACTTAGAAATGTTCAATGATATTTAGTCTTAATACGGTGTTATCAAATGCGAATGTGCTCGTAGTATATTGGCGTCGAGGCCATATTCACTACAGGAAAATACTATTGTAAGATAGATAATAGATTATCTTTTTTAAAAATAGACTTAAGTTAAATCCGATCGAGTTATTCGATTCTTAAAATAAATATGAAAGCAAACAATAAAATAGATCAATGAAGTTCAAATTATAACATACTATAGTGAAAAATAACCTTGGGGTAAAAATTTACCCGTACGCGTAAATATGACATCCAAATGTGTACGCCGTACGACTGATTAATGGGATAATTTCATATTATGAAAGAGTAAGAATGTTATAGAATGAGTTGTTTTTGCAAAGTAGTAGTGAAGAGATAAATGAGGACATCAATAATGGAATTAAGATCCTAAAGAAATTTGGATAGTAAATTCAATATTAGAGCTCGGAGTTTGTAACAATAAATGTACAATATATAATTGGAAATGAAGGGAGATGGTGGGTTTTTTACCTTAGATTTGAGAGTATTCGAATGATTGTTTATTCGAAGTTTGGTGACAGATTTTGGAGATTGGGCAGCCTTTTAAGTTGGCTGTGTAGCCACTTTGGCAAAGTACACATTGGACTGGAGTATTTGTATCTTTGGTACCGTCTTCTATTGAATAATTCTCCCTACACTTGACGCAACGAGACTCGCGATTACAGCAATCACTTGTGTGCCCATACATCTGGCAGTTGTGGCACTGTGGAGGCCCACTCTTGGTTTTATTCGGTTTTTAACATTGACAGCAATGTTCAGTAATAACGACAGAATAAATAGCTCCTTATTGTTGTTATTTGGTGCCAAGTCCACAAAGAAAAGAGCTAGTGATTTTATAAATTCTTACGAGAAAAAGTATCACATGCTGATTTTGAATTTCGAAAGTTGCCAGTTGGGACTTCAAAGGGTTCAAACCCCCCCTTCCCCCTCCCGGGGCAAAAAAAAAAAAATTGTTTTATTATTGATCACGTGTAATATATTCGTAGTTTCATTATTACGCTTTGAAATATACAACTATACAAATATTATGATAATTAAATAATTATATTGATAGATGTTTGAAAAGTTTTGTTAACTATGCTGTTTTTATATTCCAATAGCTATTAATTTACTGTAATGTAAAAGTAAACTGTAAATTGGTAAAAAATTTCTATAAAATAATATCTATTTATAGCAGTTATTTATCTTATTTATCTGTGCAACGAAAAAAAAAAGATAAGGATTATTTTTGTTACAAACATTTGTTACAAACATTGTGTTGACAAAATGATTTAAGGTCTAAATTATAAGTAGAAAGTGTTACAGAAAACGAATATCAAAATGTTCATCAGTGTAGAGTGAACAAAATTAGTCTAACACCAAACCAAACCAGATGGAATTGTATGTATGATGCGCTTCTTCAAATTTTGAAACTCACATCTAGTCTTGATGGTATTAATAAAGTAAACAATGTCTTGAACTTCTGCGAAATATTACCATTCACTAATTACGAGATATCTTTTCTTCAAAAATATTGTGTTTTAATGGAACCTTTGGCAGATATTTTAGATTTTTTGCAAAGTAAGAAAGGGATGTTTATGGGTCATTTACTGCCAACACTATGTACTGCAGATTAAATTAACTTGACTGTATTACAGAAAACCAAATTTATTTAATTATTAAATACGAGTAAAGAATCAGTTAAGAAGATATTAGAGATATATGCCTAATGCTTTGATTCAAGTTGAATTCGTTAGAAGCTACTAATAAATTTATAGCAGATGCATGGTTAAAATCTGTATTTGAAAATTCAGTTACACATTCTGGTTCTCTCTCATTTCAAACAGTGGTGGTTTTATGGGAGAGATAGGTGGACCGCCCCTCCCCCTTCAACCGTGTAAAAACTAAAAATATGAATGAACAAGTCGCTTACTAAAAATCGTTTAGGCGACAATTTTATGTTAAAACTGTTAACTGTTTACAAAAATGTTTGCTACATAACTTTTTTATTGATACCTATACTATTATGTTATGCCATTGTGGTATAAAGTTTATAGAACTTAAAATTACTTCTCATGTAGCAAGCAATAAGAAAAAATAAATGAGATATGTATGCAAATTGTAAGTATATGCAAAATATTTTTGCCCCCCCCCCCTTGTGAATTCTCAAAAACCGCCACTAAGTTCAGATGATACAAGTAATGAAAATGAGTTGAATGATGAAAAAAAAATGTTGCCTTCCAGTTACAATAAAATATTACAATGGAAATAAAATAAACAATTATTTAAATGATGAAAATCAAGACATTTCATCATTATTCATGTATCCTATAGTTATATGAGGCTGTTTATGGAATACAACACTCCACTACCATCAAGTGCACCAATCGAAAGACTATTTTAAACTGGTTCAATAATGATGACTGTTTAACGGTTCAAATTAAGGATGATCTATTTGAATAACTTGTCATTTTAAAACAAAATAAGATATATACCTGATTATGATATTAGTACTGTATACATTTATAATTATTAATTTTTCGTATGATAAATATTGAAGTAAGAAATTAAGTGTTATTATTATAATTTATATTTTAGCATTAACTTTATTTTCTGTTATAAAAATAATAATTGCTTAAGTATTTGACCTTAAGTATTTACATACTTTTATACTTACCAAATTAATAATGTACCTATCTGAGAAGTATTTGGCATAATATTATGTACACATTTGCCCTAACAATTTGAATATTTAGGATGTATATTGAAATAATTTTATAAAGTCTTAAGGTATATTAGTGTTTCATAGGAATGAGAAAAA